GTGTTCTGTGTTTAAATAACATTTTTCTTTGGGGAGTATCAGTTTATTTTTGAAAACTTGAACTTGAAAACTTTTGAAAACGCTTGCTTATTTTTGATTAAGTCACACAGAGAACAGTGACCTCTGGCAAAGTTCTGTGAGTGCTGCAATGAATATCATGCAAGGCTGCAGACACAGGGCATATTGTTCATAACATAAGCACCCACAGAGAAACATATGGGTAGAGGCTACTCTTGTATGTATGTATGGATGGATGCAGGGATGGATGGGTAGATAGATAACTACAAGGGTATCTATGTACCCATGTTAAAAAATATATTCAAAAATAAGAGCACAAGATTTATACAAGTTAATACAGATACTGGTTAAATATGTGAGTTGAAGGAAGTCAGAGCAAGATCATCTTTTCATATATTTTATTAGATGTAAGACACTGTTTAAGACTCAGTAAAAAATCTTGTTCAGTAGTGATGAGCATAAATTAAAATGTTTGTATAAACAAATCAATTTAAAATTATAAAAAAAACACAGTTAAGCAGGGTTTGTGTAAATAATCTTTGTGGAGGATACGAAAGCACAGACATAACAGCAGGAAATAAATGGAAAAGTAAAACAAACGACTGGCATGTAAAACTACTCTGATAAAAGGCACCAAATTATTGATATCATTATTTATTTTCACTTCCAACATTCCTTCAGTACAGTAAGTAGCGTAAATGATTTATTATCCAGATAATCCTAATAAACTTGTTTTTTTAAGGGCTTAATGATTTCTGAGCGTGACTACATACACAAGTTTATGAAGTGTAATGCCTCACAGTCGTGTGGGTGTCACAGTTACACCACCAAGTGTTATTAGATTTTGCGTTACACCAATATAAAAAAGTTCAGGGAAGACCAGCGCCCTCTTCAGGTCAACTTCACAATAACTTCAACCAACTTCATCTTTTAAATTCTTTTGATTCCAGATGTAATCCTAAAAATAGATCTTCTGAGGTACATCATAACACTGATACACAACTTAAGCTGCAGGGGATGTCTTCTTTTTTCCCCCCATGATTAAAAACATTAACAAAACTTCCTTCAGTGCCACACCTCAGGCCACAGGGGGCCTAATCTAATTATAGCAGTATAGTAATAACCTTTCATGACAAATAAGTCAAGATACTTCAACACAAGGCCACTTGAGGTTATTGGCAAAAAAAAACATTAGTATACAGCATCCTAACCTATGAACATTATCTTTTGTACTAACTGTCTAACAGCCTGCTGATCCGAGTCCTGGTTTGAACTCCTGGCTGATCCCAAAGTGCAAAACAAAAGCAGCATTAAAAAAAACATACAGTAATTAAATGTTAGCTTTAATGTTGCACTATGGCACAGAAGCTGGTGTCAAACCAAGAACGCTTCACTGTGTGGATCAGTGGTGTCTCCCTCTAGTGGTGACCAGATAGCAGAGAGCCCGCTGTAATGTATCACAGTGTAGTAAAGTAGAAGAAATTGTGTGGAAATATGGCTGTGAAGTGCAGGCAGGTGCCTCAGAAAAACAAATCCATGACGGTGCAGTGAAAAAATAGACACACACACACACACACACACACACACACAAACACACACACAAGAAAAGCAGTAAATCAATGACTAACAATGTGTGCAGAAAGATTAGGCTCAGAGAGACAGCTGTTTCAGTCATACTACTGCAATAGCTATTCTGTAACACAGATTCCAACATTGGGAATCACTTTTTTTTATCCAGGTTTTGTTTCTGTAAAGCCTCAGAAAACAGTTTTCATTACATGGCGAGAAACATAGCAAAACGGTTACAGGTCCATGCAAAAATTTCCGCTTGTGATTACACTTAAACTTCCCCAAAATGATAGAAAATGTTTAGTCTTTGATATCTGAATAACTCCTCACTTTGTGTGGCTGAAACATCGGGAAATGTCTCACATCTCCTTTGCTTAAAGTTGCAACCTTGTCAGGTACATAATTGCATCCCTTCAGCTTGGGAGCATTCAGCGGACGCCGTGATGGCCAGTTTTGGCTAGTGACCTTTCAAGTGACCACTTAAAACTTCTCTCTAGTTTTGAGAGTGGTGGTGGTGATGGTGGTGGTGGGAACGATGGGAGGGCCGCACGTCGGTAATTCGTTGGCGTAAATGGGACATGAACTCAAACATTGTGGCTGCCAGACTCTGGTGGATGAGGTAGCGTGGCAGACGGCCCTGATGAAACAAAAAAAAAATTTGCTTTTTAATATTTGTATTACATTTCATATTCCTTTGTTTTTGATCCTTATCTCACCTATATCTGTTACATTTTGCCTTTTTCCTGCACTCTTTCTATTTATACACACACACACCTGTTCAACTGCTTGTTAACACAGATATCTAACCAGCCAATCACATGGCAGAACTTCAGTGCATTTAGGCACGTAGACATAGTAAAATGCTTATCTGCTGGGATTTTCCCACATAATCATCTCTAGAGTGGTCCAAAAAAGAGGAAATGTGCAGCGAGTGGCAATTCTCTGGGTGAAAATGCCTTGTTCGTGTCAGAAGCTAGTGAACTTTTTTAATGTGGTGGGAAGGACGGCTAAAAACCAAGATAATGAGACTGGAAAAACATTGCCTGGTCTGATGAGTTATGACTTCTGCCACAATATTCGATTGGTAGAAAAATTCCAGGGTGGTGCTCGGGTAACAATGTGGGTTTAATGTCACTGCTTAAGTAATGTTGACCACAGTATAACCATCTTCAGACAGCTGTTCTCAGCATGATAACGTACTATAACACAAACTGGTTTTATATGTGAAGCTATCATGTAAAATGGTCCCAAATCTCTGAGGAATGTTTTATGCACCTTGTTGAATCTATGCCATGAAAAATTAAGGCAGTTCGGAAGGCAAAAGGGGGCCCAACCTGGTACTAGCAAGTTGTACCTAATGAAGTGTCCTGCTACTAAAATCATTTAGAAAACAACTTCGATCTTTCTAATCGTACAAAGGGAAAGAACATCTTGAATATTGTAAAAATAAAGGAAATTCAAGAGTAATTCCACCATGTGTTTTCACACCTTTAAGTCTGTGTTGAGGACCCAGATGAAAGTGCAGATGGATGGGTTACTGCTGGATTTGAGGACCACAAAACCTCCGGGCCCATTTTCTCCTCTGGGACCAGCAGTAAAGGAAAAAAAGACAAAGTTATACAAGTTAAACTAACACAGATGCCCTTTGTCAAATCGATACAATGTTCTAATTTACTGGATCAGTGACAAGGCCAGAGGCAAGGTCTGACCTGACATAGCGATTGCTTGGAGGTTTGGCATCGTGGTTGGTTGCTATGCCAGCAGACAGGTAACAGTCTCGTTTGCGCTCCACTCGGCGAACATTAACAAAGTCCCTGAAGGAAGAAAAATCAATCACCCAATCAACACACTTTATTCAGACCTGAAGAAAAGAAACGATACAGATGGGACAGGAAGAACAGATGACAGAAAGAAACGTCGGTAGGATGTTGTGCAGATGTACCTCGCAGACACAACTCCCCCTGCTGCTCCAGCAGATACGTCATATGAGACAAGAGTGTTGTCGTCAACTCTCTGAAGGATCTGAGTATAAGACGGGAAGAGATATCAAGCTGTAGCACGCCGCAGGATTACAGTGAAAAATGTGCAAAAACAGCAGGAAGACTTCTGACCTGGCAGACAGAAACTGTTTTGTTCCACTGAACCATCTTCTCCGGCTGCAGGATCACCTCCTGATACACAAGCTCAGCAGGACACTGCATGAGGGTCTGAAGAGGAGAAAAAAAAAACAAGGTTGTAAACTAATGTCCAGCATAGCCTACAGTTACAAAAAAATGTCTATAAGACATGACACCTAATCGCTGTCTGCATGTACTTTGGGCTATTTTCTACCCCTTTCTTTGGGGTCCTTAGGGACTAAGTAAAGCGCTATACAAATACAGGCCATTTACCATTTACTTTCTGTTGCAGATGATATGAAAATATCTAAAGCTCTCTTTTCTGTATGGTGCACTTTATCCCTCTGAAGCAAAGGTCAGAACAGGCCTTACTTCACTAATCTGTAATGGCCTGTCTGACTACTTTCAAAACAGGATCTTGTGTCTGTTTATGACCATTGTCTTGTTGGAAATCCCTATTATGTAATATTTACTTCTACAAAGAGCATTTTGTTTCAGTGACGGTTGTTCCATGCCAGCGATGCAAATTTTGTCATCGAAAACTAGTCAAGAGGTTCTATGTGGAAGTTTATATACCCTCTATATATAATAAGAACTGTTGCAGCAACTTTTCTTTAGTGTATGCAGCTCTCAATCGACACATCTACAAGACACTTTAATCCTGGCCTTACATCATTCATTTCGCTTTCCATTTTGTTCATACAGTATGTGGCGTTTTAATGTGCCACATACTGCTAGCTTGGAAGGAAAAGCAAGATTGAAATAAGGCTGCCAGATAAACATTACACTGAAACACAAGAGTAGTGTGTCAAAAAAAAAAAAATACATTTGAGACTGCTGCAATAATAAATGCACAGT